TTTATATCTTTACAAGTGTGTTTCACTACAATTCAATGTCCAGCTCATTCATTATCTGTTCATATAATAGATTGAATGTTAAGATGGACGACATGACTGATCCCTGAAAGATCGCCACCTAGAGGCTGGCTGCAGTATAGGTCATAAATCCACCTCCTCCATGTTAGTCGATGGGGCATGGGCCAAATGAAAAAGTGGAAATAGAAATCAAATAGATGTTTTCTGTCATTTAAGGTTGTCCAAACAGATAGAGTCATGTCGTGCATGCTTTATATTGTTTATAAATCCTTAAATAGGGGCGTTGCTGGCAAATGAGTTTTATTTAAGTAAAAAACTTAAAATAACAACATTGTTAATAAACAATGATAGTGCATCTACTTATTCTGTGTCTGTTGAAAAAGCTCAGGCTTCATACCTTATCACAGTTGTCTGTAAAGCTGACAGCACATTCCATTTTTAAATTACTTTCCATTTCAGTAGTAGGCTTTCTTCTTCATTTACCCAGATGTGGAAATGCATCAAAGACCATGTCTGCACATTTTGTTGCATTTCACTGAATTGCCTGAACAGCGACGGTATTAATCACGGCTGTTGTGATTCTCACTGTAGAACAGCAGAAACAAGCTCAAGTAACTCCAGCTAAAAAAGGACACATGGATCAAACAAGAATCGAGCATGTTTTTTAAAATAGGAGCAAAGGGCACGAGAGGACACATCAAGGTCACACGTGCTCAGTCGTAATGAGCTCTAAAGCCCCGGCCACAGTTTACAGTCTGTCACCATGCTTTTTATCAATGCATGTCAGGCTGAGTGCCAGACAGTCGCTTCACACCGAGCCAAAGCAAGAGCCGACTTAATCACACTACCTGGAAACAAAAACACACAGTAACAATGTGGAGAAGCTTTTCTTGTTCTGACTCTACAGGGCGCCGCAGCCTCTCAGTATCCACGCTGCTGATAATGTGTCCATGTGTACTATACCAGCTCCAGGAACGAGGCTCCGTCTGAACCGTCTTATAAGTTTAGTATACCTTCTGTCAGCTGGATATTTCATGAGATATATTATTATTATTTAATGTTTGTATTTTCAGTTTTTTTTAAGAACAGCTCCTCAACAAAACTTCACAGTGAGGAAGGAAAGAAAGAAAGAAGGAAAGAGAGAAAGACAGACTTCACTTAATTTTGTGCATAAAATTACTAAATCATACTTTTCTTTAATTGTACTTCTAAATCACAGAACTTGTTTCAGAACAGAACATGTTTGGGCTGATGACTCACACAAATAATTTTGTTGCTTTTTAAATCTAAGAAAAAAACTATGTTTTGTGAACCTCCTCTCACATTTTCAAATGTCCCATCCAAAAAGACAAAAACATTAAGCAATTATGTCTGAATGACTGCGACAGTAATTCAAACTCAAAATTCATAGGTCAGCTGAGATTGTCAAACAGATTTCACTGCTTTGGTAGATTTTAGAAACCATTCCAAAAATTGTTGACAGCTTATGCTGCAGTAAGAAATTACTGAGCTTTACTTTTTTCAAAAGTAAAACATACTATTGTCTTTAGTTTCTCTTTTATTTATTTATTCGATAGAGACAGTGCTCATTAATTAACATATACTGTAAATGAGCCAATGCTTACCGTGTAATTTTCATCATAAACTAAATAAAATGACCTATTATGTATAACTTCAAATCTCTGTGGTTAATTCATGTGCATTATGCATAGCATCAACACTGACAGGAAAACCTTCCCATTACAAAAACACTACGGCTGATAGAACTAACCCATGATTAAAATACATTATAAACAATATGTTATATGTTTAGTTAATTGTGCAATATGGATTTCCTATTTTTCACATGTATTTAGCCTTAAACTAATGAATTTTTTGTCCTCTGCATCCCATCATGCATTTCAACACTTCATAGATCAAAGCCCATTACTGGCTGGTTTCCATATTAATGGGCACACAGCTTTTTAGTCCTCACTTGCCACAGAATGCATTTTTATTTCACTTGAAATAAAAGGTAATTTGTCAAATGTGGGAGGAAAGCTAGTGTGTGCATGCCTCCCCTCTGCTCTCTGTCATGCTGGATCTTCTCTGTTTCCTGCACTTCAACTGACCTCAGGTCAGAATTAGCGCTAAGCGGTGATAGTGAAGCATTCATTTACACTCTCGGGGCTAAATCACAGGCATCTCTGTCATCATAAAACATGGATTATAATCCCAAAGGATATAGAGAGCAATTACATGAATGGATGGCATTTTCAGAGAGATGCTTGTGTGGTCTTTACACGACAGCTGTGGAAAAAGATGCAAACGATAGCTCTTGCATGACAGTTGGGAAGATAAAGTAGTGCTATCACTATACATGGTCTCATATAGAGGCTGAAAAGATCCCACGATACAGTAAAACAACTCATAGACAGAGAAACACTTTAACTGTCCAGTCTCTGCAGACTCTGCTTTAACAGACGTGCAGCTTTGTGAGCAGAGAGCTCTGTCTAAAGTAGTGTCGAAGTTGTGAGAATATAGAAGTCTGGTATCATTTAGTGAATATGTAATCTGCAGAAATATGAAATGTGACGAGGAGTATCTTCACTCCGTCACCACAGAGCAGGATTATAACATAATTAAACCAGTGGTTGTTTCTGTCTCACAAGCCTTTCCACCTGCAGAGAGGATGCTGACCTTGCCAAAGTGACAAGACTCGATGAGCTTTCATCATAGGAACCTCACAGTCAAGAAGTTGTGCATGACTCATAGGGTTTACATCATAAAGTCTTAAAATGTATTTCCACAGACTGTCCACTCAGGACTGCATCAAGAGAAACCCACAGAAAACTGCCATGGGGCAAAAGTGAAAAGGAAGCTGGGGTTGGAGTCCAGAAAGGAGCAGAGGAGGCTGAATATGAGGAGTCTTGTAGATGTGTGGGATAAAGATGGAGGGGAAGAGCAAGTCAAACATTCTTGAAATTATTGTCTCTCAGAAACACAGTGTGGCATGCAAACATCTGCACACACACACACACACAATGACAAACCCTGGTATACTCACATCTGGGGCTGAACAGGGTCATATCAGGGAAGCAGAACAACCAGCAGACTGGGAGAAGAGAGGCTGGACCAGGATGTTTTCTCTTCTCTCGGGTAACTGTCTCCTTTAACGTCCTCTCTGTGAAGTGAGTGTGTGTGTGCAAGCTTAGGCTGGTGCTCGACCGACTGCTGCGATCCTACTGAGTCAGAGACAAACCAGCCACAGGAGCACTAAAGGCACGTACCAAGTGTGCTCCTGTAGCAGGGGTGGACGCCGGGCTGTTCCATTAGCGGGAGGTGCTGGCAGGAGGATTGGATGAGTGTGCAGCTGGTTTCCCCTCAGCAACAGGAGCCTGGCTGCAGCTCCGGGCTCACACATTCCAGCCAGGCGATGAGGAAGCTGTGTGTGTGTGTGTGTGTGTGTGTGTGTGTGTGTGTGTGTGTGTGTGTGTATCTTCATGCACTTATCAAAAGAGTAGAAACCTTGTGAAACATTTCACAGACACCATGCATGCCAACCAAAGTGATAAATACCCATTCACAAAGAGGATGAGGGGGGACATTAATGGAATATTGAATGATCATTTGAATATAGGCAGTAAGGGAAGAATTTAGACAGTGAGAACATTAGAGCCCAACTATAGACAGTATATAAAGATGGATGACACCTCTCCACTTCCTCTCACTGTCCAGAAATGAAGCCCAAACTTCCTGGATATGAATGCCACCATCTTGCACATTTATAGACAGAATCTACAAGATAAACACTTAAAAAAAAAAAAAAAAAACAATAAAATAGAGGCTTGATATTTTACAGTTAAAATTAACTTCATAAAAATAAATCACAAAAACAATCAAAAACTTATATCCTGAATTCAGAAAAATAAATGTATTTATGTTAAGATATAGAATAAATATAAATGTACTGCTTAAATAAACCAACTTAAACACCAATACTGATTTGTCACTGATAATATCTGTCTATATTATTAGCCAACAGGTAGATCAACTGGACAATAAAGCAGATGCACACATACACACAAGGTGAAGAAAGAAGTGCCTCTTCTCCAGTGTGATTATGTTACACAGCCAACAAAGGGATTAATGGCATGTTCATATTTGATAAATCAATAAGTAATTTCAAACTGCTCAGAGAAACAGTAATGTAATATCTGCACAGATCCTGAACCATAGATAAGTGAGCTACCTGTAAACAAACTTAGAAACAAACTGAATATTTTATGAAATCTCCAGTAATATCATTATCAACACATATCACCACATTATTTCCATCACTGTGATCTTGATAACATTTGATCAGCACTAGCAAACACACAGTCACTTTTTACATGTTGTAAAGTGTGCGTGCTGTCTAATCGTTGCAGTTTTGTTGTGCAGTGTTTGAGGAGAGAATTCACCTGAGGGGGTTTAATCTCTCTGGCTCCCGAGGAGAAGCTTTCATGTGGGTTTAATTAGCTTCTTTAACAACCAACACAGGGTAGGACTGGCTGCAAGCCAAAGTTTAATCTTAGTCAACTCCAAAATGATTATTACCTCTTTTCACACTACACTTAACCCAGGCACAAGTGCCTTATTAAGCTGTTAACCCTTGGGTAACTGTGGTCTGAGTGGTGTGACAAGGCATCAAATTAGCCCTGGGCCATCGGCCTGTAAGGTACAATAACACAGATTTAGAGAATATATAATGTGAAACTAACGTGAATGTTTGAGATATAAAGAGCTTTATTGTTTTAAAGCTGATGCGAACAAATGTAGTTAGCTGTAGTTTTTTTTGGGACATCAGTCAGTCATGAGTGAAAATATTTGAACCAAGATGAACATGAAGTTATATTGGCACAATAAAAACATGGCATAAAACATGGCGTAGATAATAACACATTATGATGCTTTATGTTATTTATTATTTATTATAATGGGTGTCCACCTCTTTGCAAAGGTTGTGATGAGGTTGTGATGAGGTAAGGCTTTGGTCAGTGTAAATAAATAAAAACAGTAAAAACAACTTGATCTGAGAAATTTTAGGAAACACATCAGTGAATATTGTCAATATAACAGTGAAACATGTTGGAACAGCTGAAATTCTTCATATAGATCAATTATATTACAAAAATAAATGGATGCTAGTGGTGTCACAGCAGCCCACCCTTGCTGTGCTATGAGAGCTGGATTCATACAATCTGATGATGTCCTGTCCATTCCTGTCACAGTTCATCACCTCGTGTGCACCACTGATTGATTAGAAGAGTGAGATGTATCCTCAAAAAGATATCCTGTGATCCAGAGAGAATTTCTTCCATGCAGCCACTGGAGGACATAGTGTCAAACCTTGAACGGCAGCAGTGATACAATCTATAAAGGCCACTTTTGGCATGTGGCATCATTTCAGTGTATATGCACAATATAAAAATCACCTGAAGTACAATGTGGGAGCCTGAATGCAGGAAAATAAAAAAATGAAGCGATGTTCTATGTGAAAGGCAAAGCCTGGCAGCAGAGTGGAGCAGTGGTTGGCACTGTGACCTTCCAACAAGAAAGTTTCTGGTTTGATTCCCAGCTTTTCTGTGTTTTCATGTTCTTCCCATGTCTATGTGGGTTTTCTCCAGCATCCTCCCATAGTCCACTAGGATCAGGGTCTTTGTCTGTAGGTCCAACATATCCACACTGATGTGTCCATGGTTGTACCCCGCCTCTCACCCAGTGTCAGCTGGGATTGATCCAGCCCCCACTGCCACCCTCAAGTGATAAGCGGTTTGGGTGATGGATCGGCCTGTAGGCGTCACATGAACCACAGTTTGGACTGTGACTATTCATTCTAAACCTGCAGCATGGCCCAGTCTTCTACCTGGAGGTTTTGTGACACAAACAGGAAACCACTAACAGTTCTTTACATAACATATGTGTGAGAACACACAGAACTTAATAAAAACACTCACTATCTATAATCTTCCCAACTGTAGAAGGTTTCATTTGTTAATGGCTCTGAGTTCATGCAGTACTTTCAGATAAGTGCATTTGGGTTCTGTCGGAGGAGTTAAAACAGATGAAAGGTGAGGGGGTTGGGATGGTGGTAGAGGGACAGTAGGGAGGGAAGGAGGAAGTGGAGCAGAACTCGGCTTGATGCAGCCCAGTAGACTGACTCACCAAAACAGAGAGGGCTGAGGGGGAGGGTGGAAGCATAAAGAGAGAGGAAATTAGCCTGCAGTCTCAGAAAATGGCTGTAATGAGTTTAAAAGTACAGGAAACAGGGGGAAATAATGAGGAATATGGAAAAAGAAAAAAACTCTTGGAAAAAACCTAGAGTTTATATGCTGTATACAGCAGGCTTAAACCTTATCAGCATTCAGGTTGAAGATGCTAAAAATATTGAATATATTTGTGTTATACCTTATTTCACGAACGTTATTGATAAACGTAGCTACTTGTTGAAACTGGTTCTAATTGTTTTTACCAAGTAAATGGGAAATTAAGCAGTTTTTTGTAATGAACTCGGCTGTAAAGCTGCAGAAAAAGGTTTGTTTTAGCCGAAGTCCTCAAACTGTGGTTAGCCAACTGACAAATTGACCACATTTCAAAGCCCACATAGGCTCTGGGCTGTTATACTGTTGATGAACTCTCACAGGGAGGCAGTCGTGCTGAGGTTCAGCAGTCAGCTCCTAATGACTAAAAACTAAAAAAGAAATGTCGGCACATGGGCCCTCCAAAAAAACTTGTTTTTTTAACATCGGCTTAAAACAGGACCTTGAGAAATCAGTGCTAGACTCTCAACCCATATGTCTTTTTTCTTATTTATAGTGAAACTGCTTACTACTGCTGCAGTGATTTAAAGTCAAGTCATGACTGAATTGTCATGAATACCATTACCTCTTTAATATTGATTTTCAAGTTTCAATTGTGGTAAAACTACTACTACTAACAAGTTGAGAATTGGAGCATGAAGACAAAACAACAAAGAGCTGATATAATTAAATAGAGGTCACTCTGGTATCAGAACTCAATTAAATTAGAACTGGGAAATTAAAAAGAAAGTTATTTTGCCTCATTTATTATTGACCAGGCTTTTGTTATCTAATGTAAACAGTTTTATTATTTCTTTGTTCTGCGCCCTGGAAAAGGTGGAAGAAATGACATCAGAAATGTTCAGCTGCATCAGTAAAAAAACACAAACCAATGTCTCTGCGGTGTTGAGATGCACTCTCTGAAAAAGTAAACACAAAGCACAGAAAACCAAATGGAACTGTGGACATTAGCACAGGCCTGCTCTTTATATGAAGATTAACTTTCACTTCAAGACAAGGTCCTGCTGTTCTGTTTCTGTATATTTGTATTACCTCGGCTAAAGGGTTCATGTTTTCTTCTATGTTTATTGGTTTGCTTGTCCCTCTGTTTGTTAGTAGGATTACGCCGTAACTACTGTGCGGATATCATGAAACTTGGTGGAAGGAGTTTGGTGTGGGTTCTGGATCGCCAGTTTCTCAGAGAATAATTCATGGATCCTGATGAATAAAATCGGACATGTTTAGGGGACTGAAATGTAGGAATGTGTAAAATTTGGTGCAGATAAAAATCCAGATCTAGATTTAAATGTGGATTCATTTTAAATGTGGATTCGTTGAGGAACTTGAACTCTACTGAGTTGCCCTTATAATCCAGTCCAAATATATTTAAT